GGACAATGGTTTCATGAGATTCTGTGGCAAGGTCACTTCTTATTTACTGCATGGAGGTTCAAGACACACACTGAATTACCAAGGACACCCTCCCGTTCAGTCACGGGGTTCAGATTGGACCTCCTTGCTTTCCAGACTCCTTCTTGGAGGAGTTTGGATGTGGCTGGATTCAGTCCTACTCCCACACCCGGTCAACAGTTTAGGACTAAGGGACTTTATTCACAGTTACACAGTAAAGTTTACAAGCTCCAAAAGAGAACACACGCTGTAGTTACTCACCACAAATCTGTTGTGGCAAGGATCTCTGAAGCCCGAGGAGTGTACTTGATGGGCGTCCCTGCTCAAGGCATCCTGCACTGCCCTGACATGCAGCCTCCTGCCATGCAAGGAGGGCTCAATGGGCTCTCGGGCTGTCCCCATATTTATGGGAGAAGATGACTGACTTGTAGTTATTCTTTCATGTCAGAGGACTTTTGACTGGTGTATGCACTATGCACAAGTAGCCTTATCTCCCCATCAAGATCCAACCATCAGGACTGTTATTGATGGTTAATGTCTGAGTGGGGGAAGAAATCAGGGAGGCAGCTACCAGGATCACATAATGTCACTGGTGGTCCACACCTGAATAGGCTACCTGTGAAAAGTCAGGTTGAGCTGGGGAAGGAGCACATCCCTCACAGCGACTTGTGGGGCTGCAGGAGCAGGTTTCTCCCTCTGTGCAGTGACAGGCCCTGCAATTTGCTGCAGCGCGGCTGGCCACAGCAGCCTGATTGGTAAGATGTGGTAAGAAAACTAAGAGGGGAGGATCAAGACAAGCTTGTGTGCAAGGCAACTCTCCTGGAAGCTCTGGCGGTTTTGCACGTCAAACTAAATGACCCTGAACACTCCCCTTCAGCTTTTCCTCTCARCATCAAGGTTCTTGGCCAAACTTCTGCTTCCCCAGCACCACACAGTCAAAATGTGGGCCTTTAAAAACACTGTGACTTCATGTGGGCTACAAACCCCCTTCCTCATGGTTCCTAAGCTGCTGGAGAAACTCTGCTTAATGCAACTCAGAATCCCACTGGCCTTGGCCACAATGGCACACTGCTGCCTCATGGTCCACTTGGTTCCTAACCTCTTACAGATGCTCTGGAAAACACGTTTGAGAATATACTGGTGTTTATTCAAATGAGTTTCCCCAAAGTGCTCTTCTCTCGCACTCTCTCCCAGTTGCCTTGCTTGTATCTTCAACAAACAACACGGGAAAGGGAAATCATCCAAGGCTTTCAGATGGGAGGGAAGACAAGAGGCCCTTCCCCCATKATTCTGAAGTGATATTCCACCTGGAGGGCCACAGAAAAGAAACAGCAAAGATTAGGACTGGCGTCTGTTCTTTTCCAGTGCATGAAGATCACTTCTCTCCCTCTCTTCTACCCCTTCACTTGAGCCTTCCCGACGCCTCCCTTATGTNCAAAGATTAGGACTGGCGTCTGTTCTTTTCCAGTGCATGAAGATCACTTCTCTCCCTCTCTTCTACCCCTTCACTTGAGCCTTCCCGACGCCTCCCTTATGTTGCTAAGCTAATAG